CAACCATACAGATAGATAGTGAGAGAAACTATGTACATATGTACGGTATGAGTATATCTATACGTATGTGTATATGCATGTATGCCAAGATATAGAAAAGGGAGGGAGAGAGAGAGACAGACAGACAGACAGACAGACAGATCGCGAAAATAGATAGAGAGACAGAAATTGATAGGTTGATACAGACGGAGAGATAGATAGTGAGAGAAAGCGCGCACGCGAGAGAGAGAGAGAGAGCACGTGCGCGAAAATAGATAGACAGAAGTTGATAGATAGGTAAATAGATAGTGAGAGAAACTATGGTATAAGTATTGATAGATAGATAAAGCCGGACAGATAGATAGTGAGAGAAAATATGGTATGAGTATATCTATACGTATGTGTATGTGCGTGTATGCTAAGATATGGAAAAGGAAAATCAGTGTTCATAATGTTTTTTTTTTTTTTTTTTTTTTTTTTTTTTTTTTTTTTGTTAAGAGTCCAGTCTTTCTATAATGCCATGTACGTTTCTTTCAGTAACACTTGCCAAGATATGGTAAGGGAAAATCATAGATATTTTTATATAACAACTTTATTTATTTGACCTGTAAGCCACGCCTCGACACAGGCATGTACAGGCAAGTTTTAGAACTAGGGCTAGAAAACATCCTTGGCAGATGCTTTCGCAGTAACCCTCATGTTGGGACTCTGACTCTGAGCACTCATGTTGGGACTCTGACTCTGAGCACTCTCTGTGGGAGAGGAAAAGAAATGCAAGTAAGTAATACATTCTCAAAGTCAGAATTCCTCAACACAAAGACAAGTGACAATAACGAAACTTACGGCTCCCGAGCTTCCTTCACTCTACATGCCAGGCCTTGAAGCACCCATAGGTACATAATGCAACATTGCTTTCTTCACAGTAGCTATGGGTGCTTCGTCTCCTCCCTTGCCTGGAACACCAGCGACACCTTCTCCTCTTGCCGCCAGGGAGCTCGGAAACCCAGTGTTGCCACTGTCTCAGGAACCGCTTATCTGCAGTGCGGTTCCTGCTGGAGTCCGCCCCTCTTCTGAACTCCCCCACAAGTTCTCTGGAGAGGACAGACTTGAAGGTCTTCAACGAACCTCTTCCGCCTAGGGCACGATGGAGTGCCCAGGCGTTGACGATGGCCATGTCAAAGAGGTTGAAGAAAATCTTCCTGTACCAGACCTTGGACCGACGAGGCGTTGGATAGTAGCTCGCCATCTGATCACCAATGTTGACTCCCTTCATGCCGACATTGTAATCATTTACTACCAACGGCTTCCTCCCCTCCATTGCAGCGGTATGGACCGTTGACAGCAGGGCGACAACGGCGTTGTCCTTCCACAACAAGGCCAACAACCCCGTCCTGCTGCTGTGGTAATCGACATCACCCTTCCTCCTCACACAGAGGTCCTTGGGCATGAACTTCCTGTTCAGCTGGGCTGTGCCTACCGCGTTGGTCTTTCGGGATTGTAACAAATGAAAGAGCGTAGGCGACGTGTACCAGTTGTCCACAAACAACTGGTATCCTTTGTCAAGGAAGCTGTCATACTCCATCAGATGAAACACCGCTTTCGTGGATGAGGGCATGTCGCCACGGTCCTGCCCGGTGTACACTTTGAAACAAGAGGTGTACCCTGCAGCCGGGCCGGTACTGGTACTGAGCTTATAGACCTTCAACCCGAACCTCGCCCGCTTGGTTGGGTTGTACGTCCTAAAAGCTAGCCGCCCATGGAACTTCCACAACGACTTGTTGACAGTGATGTCCTGCCCCAAGACAAAAATCGTCCGGAACGAGTCGTTGAGGGCGTCCACGACTGGTCGGAGCTTCCACATCCTGTCCTTCGGGAGTGGAGCTCCTTCCTCCAAGTGGGCGAAATGGAGGTGTGTCGTCAACTGGTCGAACCGATCTCTCGTCATAACCTCAGTCATGAAAGTCTGACGGAAACCGGGATCGGTCGACCAGTAATCACGGAAAGAGGGGAGTCTTACCATCCCCATAAGCAAACGGAGACCGAAGTACGCCTTGACTTCCTGCTGGGACGTGGGAGTCCACCTCCTCATATGGGGTGAGGCAGTAGGAGGGCGGGCGACCGCATACCTGTGGGAGTGGTAAAGAAAATGAAGTAAGTAATACATTCTGATCTCTCAATGTCCAATTTCCTCAATGTAAATACAAATAGAAAGAACACAATAGTAATAAAAACTTTCAAGTTGGTCTCCAAAACAATGTGATCAATCATGTCGTCAGTCATGAGGTATGAAAAAATGTGGAGCGGGGTGGATTCGACAGTCAACGGGACCTTGAACCCGGGATCTCCGGAAAAGGCCACCTTCCTGGGGAAATTGTCCTCCTTCCGCCAATGAAAGTTAGGTGTCCCGGGAGTTGCGGTACACTATCCTCTCTGGGTAATGAGCCAGAGGCTCGTCACTATCAAGGGTAGTGTCCACGACCAATACGTAATCTAGATCGTCCTCCGAGCTGGATAGATGGAAGTCTGGATCCTTTTCTACCCTTGCTGTCGGACGCAACTCCTTATCATTCAGCTCGTCGGAGTCATCGAAGTACGACAGCATGCGTCCTGCCGACGACTGGTGATGCGAGCGGCGACCGCGCCCCTGTGTATGAAAAGAAATGCAAGTATTACATTCTCCTAAAACTCCTCAAATTCAAGATTCTTCTGCACAAATACAAATAGGAAAAAGACATGTGACAATAACGAAACTCACCGCCGAGGTCGAAGGCTGAGGAGGCATCAGTTCATCCGACGATGACGACGATGATGACGGAGAACGCGAGCGAACGCCTCCCTGCGAGATGTGAAAAGAAATGCAAGTAATACATTCTCCTAAAACTCGAAGGTCGAGACGTGGCGACTGCACCCGTGTATGAGCGCGATGGAAGGGGCTCAGGTAGTCCTGCCGACGACTGGCGACGCGAGTAATACATTCTCCTAAAACTCGAAGGTCGAGACGTGGCGACTGCACCCGTGTATGAAAAATGCAAGTAGTACATCCTAAAACTCCTCAATTCAAGATTCTTCAGCACAAATACAAATGGGAAAAAGACTTGACAATAATGAAACTCACCGCTGAGGCTGAAGGCTGAGGAGGCATCGCTTCATCAAAGAAGCGAGACGACGGCGTACTTGTTGGAGTGGCAAAGAAATGCAAGTAATACATTCTAACTCCTCAAAGTATCAACATGAGTGCTCAGAGTCCGAACATGAGTGGCCAGAGTCAGAGTCCCAACATGAAGGCATACAAATGGAAAAAAAGGCAAAGTACTTACCCATTCAGACATGGGCCGTGGTTCATCGAGGTCAGAAGAGGAGGAGTTCAAGGGAGAGCGTTGCTTTCCTAAATGTGACATGGCGAACGCTTGAGTGATGAATGAGCTGAAAGCAGCTCTATTTATTCAGAAAAATTTCGCGGGCTTCGAGAAATGGGCGGGTACATGGAACAAATCAATCAGGTCAAAGGAACATAGGCCACATGTTTCATGACGTCACAGCCGCTACTACGACAGAGCAGGTCTGATATGACATGATGACGGCACAAAATGCATACGCACACACACTTTTGGCTCTGTCTCTCTCTCTACCTCGCTCCCCCCCCCCCCCAGATGCACACACACACACTCACTCCCCCTTGCACCCCCCCCCCCCACAACACACACACACTCACTCCCCCTAACACCCCCCCCACACACACACACACACACACAGGTACACACACATACTCCCCCTCGCACCCCCCCCTCCCCACAGGTACACACACACACTCCCCTCGCAACCCTTCCCCCTCCCTCCCGTTTTGACCAGCTCTTTTTCTTTTTGATAACAATCCCCTACTTTCTCCTCGTATTTTGACTTCAAACTCCATTTTTTTCTTGGTGATATTTCACTTCTCTCTCACTTATTTATGACGTCAACTACAGGCAAACTGACCTAAATGCTTTTTATGACCTCATGACATAACGGGCGCAACAATAAATCGTAGTTGTGTAGAGAAAAAAACACGTTACTGAGATCCATAGGTTACGTCAGGCCAGTGAGACGCCCGGTGAGAGGTCCAAAAACCGACACACCAGCGTGACACCCGTCGTCGGGTCCAAAATCGGGGTGTCCCGCACATGGGACACCCGTCGTGGATGGGTTAATTTTACATATATGAACTGTTTTTCATTTCAAATATCAATGTATAGATCGTAGAAATGGATGGAAGGGGGAACGAGAGGGATGCAGCTGGGAGGAGCTAATCACACTTATACACTGTCACCCCCGTGCATTCTTCATATTTTTTTTATTACATATTTAATACAAGGTACACATGCTAGCCGATGAGGTCTCGATATAAGACATATTTTATTTGTAAACGTCTGGGAGACTTATGAACACTTTTTTTTTTTTTCTGTTTTATAAATCGCCATGTATCATTCAAATGTAGTGACATATGATATAAAATCAATCTTTGGACGTTTATTAATTCATATCTGTATGTAATAGCTTTATCAAATACTGTATGTATGTCCGGGCTGAGAGTAATTACGAGGTCCGTCTGGTGTGAATGGGTGAAAATTCCATGTCACCCTATGCTGCTTATTCCCCCGTTACACCATAAACTAGTCAGAGATGGAGTCTAATAATTGAAGGGTAGTTTCCTCACACATGCCAGTACCATTAAATGATGCCTAAGGACAAATATGAACGGCAATTATATCATTTTGAAAATGAGGATTTTATTTAATAACAAAAAGAAAGAAGAAAAAATCAGTCTTTAGACTAGTGTCAAGGAACATTGAGATTTTGTTCAAGATTTTCTATAGTAAGATAGTCATTTTTATTGAATTTAATGCTAATGTGATTAATTCTGTTTTAAATATTATTTAGTTTCTTTAATTTTATTGTTATTATTGTTATTGTTATTGTTATTATTAGAGTGTGAGGGAATGAGAGGAGAAAACTCACTCTAATGGAATGCACCTTAATTTCAGATCAGTGGCTTACTGGGTGCAAGCAGCTTTAGCACTCTCCCTGCTTCAGAGTTATGCAGCCGAAACCTTGTAGCTGTTACTGTGATCGATGATAATGGCAAGCCAAGACTGTGCAGGGCAGTCATCACAGGTAACTATGTTATGTTGGATTTCACTTCCTCTACCTTCCAAGTCTTAGATCCTCTTGTGTTTTTGCCTTTTTGTCTCTTTCTCTTCCCTATCCCCCCATCCTCCTCATCATCATCATGTAACTTTTCTATTTCTGTTGCTTCCCCCTTGTTTCTTGTTCTCCATCAGCACTATTGTGTTAATAAGCATATGTGATGACAAGTATAGGTGCTGACCCTAATTTGGTCTGGATTTTGAAATACTGATATTTTACTGATTTTCAAGCAAAGTATAGGTGCTGACCCTAATTTGGTCTGGATTTTGAAATACTACAAAGCTTCTGGAACCTCTGTAACATTTTACTTATAAAACATTTAAGTCCAGAAAATACATAACTTGTTACTACATATTTCAATCATCCTTAAGATATTGAAAAAAAAAAAGATATTTTAATTGCTCTCAATAATTATAGAGGCCAGTGATACTAGTTTACCCATTTCTACCTTTACAGACACCAGTGAAGTACCTAAAGGTTTCCTGAGGGTCCTACTAGTAGATGAATGTTGCCCGGACATCCAGGTGAGATTAAGCCACCTGTACTATTGTCCCAAACATGTGTCTGCAAGCAAGTACCCTCCATCTTGTCAGCAGTTTGTACTTGCTGATGTCATGCCAATTGAGGATAGACTTCTTGAGGCTGAGAAATGGTTGCAGTGCATGTTGCTCAACAAGACGGTCGAGGCTGTGTTTGAGAGGCACCCAGATGGAACCAGCTACATTTGTCCTCTTGATCATCAGAAGCTCCCATTAGTCTTCAGTATGCTGGTAGCTGGCCTTGCTAAGATGTCCACAAAACCACTTATCAGTGTAGGTGCACTGACAGGGAATAGTAATGTAAAACTGGAGACCAAAGCTGAGAGCCCTGCCCCCTCCTCTCAAAGGGTAACCTATTCTCAGTGGAAAATGCCATTGGGTGTAAAAGAAACAGCAGATGTAACCACAGTGGAGAAGGGGCCATGGAAGTTTTGCCTCCAGTTTAAGCGACAGAAAGAGCAAATACCTTCACTTCGGGAGAAGCTGAAAATTCTAGTCCTGACAGGAAAGCTCTCAAAAGGTGGCTTTAATACTGGAGATGCAGTTGTCTGCCCAAACAAAATACATGGGGGGCATAGCAGAGGCCTCATCACAAACAAACTGCCAGATAACATGTGTTCAGTATATTATGTTGATGAAGGAAGTAAGGCATTGTTAAGTGAAAAGGAGCTGTGGTTGCTCCCAGAGGGGATGGCCAAGATTCCATTGCTAGTGCACAGGTGTTGTCTGGATGGGCTGGCCCCTTCTGAAGACAAGGACATTTCTGACAAGTTTGAGGCACTGGTAAAAGAACAGAATCTTTTGGCTAGTCTGGTGAAGATTGGTAAGGATGTACCAACAACAGTGAACCTGTTCTCCAATGGGAAAAATTCTGTCCTAGATTTACTGACTTGCAGCTATAAGCAAGAGATACTGCTAGACAATTTCCTGGTTAGCATTTCATACATTAGTGAAGAGCAAGCTATACTTTACCTGGTGTTGTGTGAAAATGGAGAAATGCTTGACAAACTCCACCTAAGTGTTCAGGAGGCTGCAAAGGTAGCTGGCCCACTTGAGTTTCCAGAGAAGCATCAGTCATGTCTTGCACTTTTTCCTGATGACGGATTTTGGTACAGAGCTACTGTCCTCAATGCAGCAGACTTGGTTCATGTATGTAGTACTGATTTTTTGGAGCATCTTGTGACTTATCATTAGATATGATAAATTCTGATAATATTGTTTTCTCAAATCAAAAATATATGGTTAATTTTTGATAATTTTACTTTTATCCTCCTCCTCCCTTCCCAGGTTGAGAAACCAGTACCAGACAGTAAGACATATTGACTAACTCTAATAAAAGTGTTTGAAGTCAATTTCCTTTTTCTAGGTTAGGTACGTTGATTATGGCAATGAATCGAGTCTTCCAAGGGATTCCCTAAGGGTCATACACGCCACCTTAGTGCAGTCGGCTCCCTCACAGGCACTGCCCTGTCTACTCAGTGAGGTAGACCAAGAGCCCCTGTCTCTGGTTGATGTCAATGAGGTAAGGGGTGCAATTGTTTATTTGCTAATGTTTTCCTTTTTTCCATATTTATGTAATTCTTAGGGAAACATTATTAACACTTGTAATGATTTATTGGGAAATAGATTTTTGAGAAGCTAGTGTAAAACAGGAAGAATGAAATGAGAGGCAAAAAGTCCATACAAGCTTTTTTAAAGGCATAAAGGCTTATTGCAGTAACCCCATATTTACCAAAATCAGTGAATTCTGCTCTAGTGCACGTTTATCTTAGAGTTCCCTTTTTATGAAATACCTTCAGACACTCCCGATAGTGGAATGTATGTGGGGTGTTGAGAGTACCCCTACCATAAATTAACAGTTTTGAAGAAACATTTGACGGACATTTCCTTTAGTGGAATGTATGTGGGGTGTTGAGAGTGCCCCCTACCATAAAATTAACAGTCAATCTACGAAGTAGTGGCAAGTGAGACAGTTGTGGAACACATGCCACATTCCACAGTTATCATGCCTGTCACTATTTTATTGCTGAGTACTTCTCACTTTTCCCAAAAGTTCTTGCTCATACTCCCAGTTATACACATAGTGAATTCATTCACAGTAGACAATATGTTAAGAAAGTAGCCATAGTATCTACATTTCTGTGCCTCTTGAGAGTAAGTGCAGGCAAATGCCATTCTCTTATTGCCAAAATCTATTTCTCAATTATATTAACATCTAGAAATGATATTTGTTTTGATATGTTGTAGTGGATAACCTCTCCTCTCTTCAATACCTACCTTACTATAGTGATCAACCATACTTATGATATCTCTTAAAGAGGCAGTATGAATTTTTCAAAATAGAGAAGTAAACAAAAAATGTATATAGGTAGAAATATTATAACCTATTACATCATAATCGTAACCTTTGTATAATAGTGACTCAGGAAATACCCTTTCATTCCTACTCAGTTACATTTTGGTAGGTATGCATTCTTGCCCTTGATGCCAGGTTGGCAAAAATGTGTGCCATATTGTCTGTGATCTTAACCCATTGGTCGCGGATGGCATGATATGATGACACGGTTTTATTTGTAGTTTGCACAGGTAATAACATTTTACAATGGTCATAACATTGATAACAACATAATATTAATAGCATTAAAAAAGAAGAGAAGAAAGCTTGATAACTCAGGAAAAGAAATAATCTTGAAAACTGAAGAAAAGTCTCCTCGGTGGTAACATAAATGTGCAACCATGTGGAGTTCATGTCAACCAACTGCAACAAGAACAACAAATGGAATCACAAGAAAAATGAATATGCCGAAGGCCTTTTTGCTATTGCTTCATCAAGGAATTCCCTGATGAAGCAACAGTGAAAAGGCCTTTGGCATATTCATGTGTTTTCTTGTGCTTCCCTTCGTTGTTTCTGTTGCAGGTCCTCCACGTTGTCCTTCTCCTCCCACGTTGTCTTCTCCTCCCACGTTGTTCTTCTCCTCCCACGTTGTTCTTCTCCTCCCACGTTGTTCTTCTCCTCCACGTTGTTCTTCTCCTCCACGTTGTTCTCCTCCTCCTCCATGTTCTTCTCCTCCTCCCACGTTGTTGTTCTCCACGTTCTTCTCCTCCTCCCACGTTGTTCTTCTGTTCTTCTCCTCCTCCCATGTTGTTCTTCTCCTCCCACGTGTTCTTCTCCTCCCACGTTGTTCTTCTCTCCCACGTTGTTCTTCTCCCACTGTTCTTCTCCTCCCACGTTGTTGTTCTCCTCCACGTTGCTCATCTTCTCCACGTTGCTCATCTTCTCCCACGTTGCTCATCTCTCCCACGTTGTTCTTCTCCTCCCACGTTATTCTTTTTCTTCTCCTCCTCCCACCTTCTTCTCATCCTCCACCTTCTTCTCGTCCTCCCACCTTTTTTTCTCGTCCTCCCACCTTCTTCTTCTTCTCCTCCTCCCCACTTCTTCTTTTTTCTCCTCCTCCTCCACTTTTCTTTTCTCCTCCTCCTCCCACTTCTTTTTCTCCTCCTCCACCTTCTTCTTTTTCTCCTCCTCCCACCTTCTTCTTTTTCCTCCTCCTCCACCTTCTTCTTTTTCTCCTCCTCACCTTCTCTTTTTCTCCTCCTCTTCTCTTTTCTCCTCCTCCCACCTTCTTCTTTTTCTCCTCCTCCCACCTTCTTCTTTTCTCCTCCTCCACTTCTTCTTTTTCTCCTCCTCCCACCTTCTTCTTTTCTCTCCTTCCTCCTCCCACCTTCTTCTTTTCTCCTCCTCCACCTTCTTCTTTTTCTCCTCCTCCCACCTTCTTCTTTTTCTCTCCTCCCACCTTCTTCTTTTTCTCCTCCTCCCACCTTCTTCTTTTTCTCCTCCTCCCACCTTCTTCTTTTTCTCCTCCTCCACCTTCTTCTTTTTCTCCTCCCACCTTCTCTTTTTCTCCTCCTCCCACCTTCTTCTTTTTCTCCTCCTCCACCTTCTCTTTTTCTCCTCCTCCACCTTCTTCTTTTTCTCCTCCTTCTTCTTTTTCTCTCCTCCCACTTCCTTTTTCTCCTCCTTTCTTCTTTTTCTCCTCCTCCCACTTCTTCTTTTTTCTCCTCCTTCTTCTCTTTTTCTCCTCCTCCACCTTCTTCTCTCCTCCTTTCTTCTTTTCTCCTCCTCCCACCTTCTTCTTTTTCTCTCCTCCCACTTCTTCTTTTCTCCTCCTCCACCTTCTTCTTTTTTCTCCTCCTCCCACCTTCTTCTTTTTCTCCTCCTCCCACCTTCTTCTTTTTCTCTCCTCCCACCTTCCCTTCCTTCTTTTTCTCCTCCTTCTTCTTTTTCTCCTCTCCACCTTCTTCTTTTCTCCTCCTCCCACCTCTTCCTCTCTCCCACTTCTCTTTTTCTCCTCCTCCCACCTTCTTCTTTTCTCCTCCTCTCTTCTTCTTCTCTTTCTTCCTCCTCCTCACCTTCTTCTTCTTTTTCTCTCCTCCCACCTTCTTCTTTTCTCTCTCCTCCCATGCTTTTTCTCCTCCTCCCCACCTTCTTCCTCCTCCCCCAGTTCTTCTTCTCCTCTTCTCCTCCTCCTCCTCCTCCTCCTCCTCCTCCTCCTCCTCCTCCTCCTCCACCTCCTCTCCTCCTCCTCCTTCTCTCTCCTCCTCCTCTCCTCTTCTTCTTCTCCTCCCATGTTGTTCTTCTCCTCCCACGTTCTTCTTCTCTTCCTCCTCCTCCCACTTCTTCTCCTCTTCCTCCTCCTCTCCTCCCATGTTCCTCCTCCTCCCTCTTCTCCTCCTCCTCCTCCTCCTCCCTTCACCATGTTCTTCTTCTCCTCCTTCCTCCTCCATGTTCTTCTCTCTTCCTCCTTCCTCCTCTCCTCTCTCATGTTCTTCTCCTTTCCTCCTCCTCCTCCTCCCCATGTTCTTTCTCCTCTTCCTCCTCCTCCTCCTCCTCCTCCCATGTTCTTCTCCTCTTCCTCCTCTCCTCCTCCTCCTCCCCATCCCTTCCTCCTCCTCCTCCTCCTCCCATGTTCTTCTCCTCTTCTCCTCCTCCTCCTCCTCCTCCCATGTTCTTCTCCTCTTCCTCTCTCCTCCTCCTCCTCCCATGTTCTTCTCCTCCTCCTCCTCCTCTCCCATGTTCTTCTCCTCTTCCTCCTCCTCCTCCTCCTCCCATGTTCTTCTCCCTTCCTCTCTCCTCTCACTCCTCTCTCCTCTCCCATGTTGTTTGTTCTCCTCTTCCTCCTCCTCCCATGTTCTTCTTCTCCTCTCCTCCTCCTCCTCCATGTTCTTCTTCTCCTCTTCCTCCTCCTCCTCCCATGTTCTTTCTTCTCCTTTCCTCCTCCTCCTCCCATGTTCTTCTCCTCTTCTCCTCCTCCCTCCCCACGTTCTTCTCCTCTTCCTCCTCCTCCTCCCACGTTCTTTCTCCTCTCCTCCTCCTCCTCCCACGTTCTTCTCCTCCTTCCTCCTCCTCCCATGTTCTTCTCCTCTTCCTCCTCCTCCCATGTTCTCCTCTTCCTCCTCCTCCCATGTTCTTCTCCTCTCCTCCTCCTCCTCCCACATTCTTCTTCTCCTCACCACATTCTTCTTCTCCTCTTCCTCCTCCTCCTCCTCTCCACATTCTTCTTCTCCTCTTCTCCTCCTCCTCCCACATTCTTCTTCTCCTCTTCCTCCTCCTCCTCCCACTCTTCCTCCTTCCTCCTCCTCCTCCCACATTCTCTCCTCCTCCCTCCTCTCCACACACGTTCTTCTCCTCTTCCTCCTCCTCCTCCCACGTTCTTCTCTCTTCTCCTCCTCCTCACGTTCTCTCCTCTTTCTCCTCCTCCTCCACGTTCTTCTCCTCTTCTCCTCCTCCTCCCACGTTCTTCTCCTCTTCTCCTCCTCCTCCCATGTTCTTCTCCTCTTCTCCTCCCATGTTCTTCTCCTCTTCCTCCTCCCATGTTCTTCTCTTCCTCCCATGTTCTTCTTCTCTTCCTCCTCCTCCCATGTTCTTCTTCTCTTCCTCCTCCTCCCATGTTTCTTCTCTTCCTCCTCCTCCCTCTTCCTCCTCCTCTTCCTCGTTCCTCATCTTCTCTTCTCCTCCTCTTCCTCCTCCTCCTCCTCCTCCCCATCTTCTTCTCCTCTTCCTCCTCCTCCCATGTTCTTCTCCTCTTCTCTCCTCCCATGTTCTCTCTTCCTCTCCTCCCATCCTCATTCTTCTTCTCCTCTTCCTCCTCCTCCTCCTCCCACATTCTTCTTCTCTCTCCTCCTCCTCCTCCTCCCACATTCTTCTTCTCCTCTTTCTCCTCCTCCTCCACACACGTTCTTTCTCCTCCTCCTCCTCCTCCTCCTTCTTCTTCTCCTCCTTTTCTCCTCCTCCTCCTCCTCCACATGTCCTCCTCCTCCTCCACGTTCTTCTCCTCTTTCCTCCTCCTCCTCCCACGTTCTCTCTCCTCTTCCTCCTTCCTCCTCCCACGTTCTTCTCCTCTTCCTCCTCCTCCTCCCATGTTTCTTCTCCTCTCCTCCTCCCATGTTCTTCTCCTCTTCTCCTCCCATGTTCTTCTCTTCTCCCATGTTCTTCTTCTCTTCCTCCTCCTCTCCCTGTTTTCTTCTCTCCTCCCTCCCATGTTCTTTTCCTCTTCCTCCTCCTCCCATGTTCTTTCTCTCTCCTCCTCTTCCTCCTCCTCCTCTTCTCTTCCTCCTCCTTTCCTCCTCCTCCTCCTCCACATTCTTCTCCTCCTTTTCCTCCTCCTCCTCCACATTCTTCTCCTTCTTCCTCCTCTCCTCCCCTCTTCTCCTCTTCCTCCTCCTCTCCTCACGTTCTTCTCCTCTTTCCTCCTCCTTCACTCCCACGTTCTTCTCCTCTTCCTCCTCCTCCTCCCAGTTCTTCTCCTCTTCCTCCTCCTCCTCCCACGTTCTTCTCCTCTCCTCCTCCCTCCCACTTCTCCTCTTCCTCCTCCTCCTCCACGTTCTTCTCCTCTTCCTTCCTCCTCCTCCCACGTTCTTCTCCTCTTCCTCCTCCTCCATCCTCCTTCTCCTCTTCCTCCTCCCATGTTCTCCTCTCCTCCCAATGTTCTTCTCTTCCTCCTCCTCCATGTTCTTCTTCTCTTCCTCCTCCTCCCATGTTCTTCTCTTTCCTCCTCCCCATGTTCCTCCTCTTCCTCCCTGTTCTCTCCTCTCCTCCTCCTCCTCCTCCTCCCATGTTCTCCTCTTCTCCTCTTCTCTCCATGTTCTCTTCTCCTCTTCTCTCTTCCTCCTCCTCCCATGTTCTTCTTCTCCTCTTCCTCCTCTTCCTCCTCCTCCCATGTTCTTCTCTCTCTTCCTCCTCCTCTCTCCTCTCCTCCTCCTCCTCCTCCCATGTTCTTCTTCTCCTCTTCCTCCTCCTCCTCCTCCCTCCTCCTCCATGTTCTTCTCCTCCTCCTCCTCCCATGTTCTCCTCCTCCTCCTCCTCCCATGTTCTTCTCCTCTTCCTCCTCTCCTCCATGTTCTTCCTCCTCTCCTCTCCTCCTCCCCATGTTCTTCTTCTCCTCTTCTCCTCCTCCTCCCATGTTCTTCTTCTCCTTCTTCCTCCTCCTCCTCCTCCTCCTCCCATGTCTTTCTCCTCTTCCTCCTCCTCCTCCCCATGTTCTTCTCCTCTTCCTCCTCCTCCTCCTCCTCCTCCTCCTCCTCCTCCCATGTTCTTTTCCCCTCCTCCTTCTCCTTCTCCTTCTCCTTCTCCTCCCCCCTACCTTCTCCCCACTGTTCTTCTTCTCCTCCTCCCACATTCTCTCCCTCCTCCTCCTCCTCCTTCCCTCCCCCCACCTCTCCCACTGTTCTCCTCCTCCTCCTCCCATGTTCTCCTCCTCCCTCCTTTTCTTCCTCCTTTTCCTTCTCCTTTTCCTCTCTCCTCCTCCTCCTTTCCTCCTCCTCCTCCCTTTTCTCCTCCTCCTCCTTTTCCTCCTCTCCTCCTTTTCCTCCTCCTCCTCCCCCTCCCCCCTTCTCCCCTTGTTCTTCTCTTCTCTCCTCCTCCTCCTTTTCCTTCTACTCCTCCCCTCCCCCTCCCTCCCCCACCTTCTCCCCACTCTCCTCCTCCTCCTCCTCCTCCTCCTCCTTCTCCTCCTTCTCGTCCCCCCCACCTTCTTCTCCCCACTGCTGTACTATGATAAAATCATATATTCTTTTGGAACAATACTGATACCTATAAGAAATATGTATCTCCTGAAGTTAAGGAAAAGGGTAAATAGATTGACTAGGTGATTTTGTACATGTAGAGCCACATGTGTAAATACAATCAATAACCTAAACTCTTTGTGGGTATAGCATGTACACACCTACCAACCCCAGAAGCAGTGGGTTAAGATAATCAGTGTTATATTTACATCTGCATGATAAAGTTCTGGTTACATATATCCATGGACTTCACTTAAAATATTTTAAGTAACTTTAGGAATGACTAACCATTACAAAAATCACCCCAGAGGGTTCATTCACATGGCATTTCTGGTAATGGGCATTTTTTGTCAAGAAGCAGCTTATAAATAACCAGTGTGTATCTAATGATGTAAATCTCGGAATGGAATTGCGTATATTTGACTGAAGATTTTAGGCATTACAAGAGGTGGAGGAGTAGAAGGAATAAGTGGAAATTACAAATTATTGTTGTTTTCAGGTAACAGATGAGAGTATGTTCAAAGTACAGATCATTGGGCGCAAGGAAATGGCAGGACTTGGAAGTGTGGCAGTGGTGGAACTGGTGACAAAATCCACCGGGGTCTCCCTCAACCAGCTTTTGCGTGACAAGAAACAAAGAGCAGAAAAGGAAATAAATAATAATACAAACAAACATTGTAAGGCTTTGATGAACATGGAAAGGCTTTTTTTCTTGAAAAGCGTTGTGTGAACATTTTAATGTGTTTACTATAATCATTTTTGTTTTTCTTTAACAATATCACAAAATATATGGACCACTTTCCCCAGAAATATTCAGAAACACAACTTGAGATTCAATATATATATAATGTACTTACTTTTTCTTTTTACTAAGATTTGATTGTCTTATGCATACATGGAATAGAAAAAAGTAGTATTAAACTTTTATTAAAACAAACTAAAAGAATGACTAATGATAGTTTTTAAAATTTTTATCTGCTCCTTATTGACTTCCCTAAACCCATCAATGGGAGTCCATGCAGCCCAGGTTAGGAACCGGGAAAGGCTAGATCAGTAGCAACTCAAGTAGGTGTCATGGTGTCTGATTCTATTTTTGGAAAGAAGCACATGGGGATTATTTTGGTGACGTCACAAAAGTAAGGGATGCTTTGTAAATATGGTTGATTATTTGGTCTCTTCAATTTTCAAAAAGGATGGAAAATATTGATTTTAATGGTTATATTTTCATTGAACAGTCATCAAAACAGATGTCACGACACCTCGAGCTGCTACTGATCTAGCCCCTCCTCCTCCTCCTTCATCCCATCTCCTCCTCCCCCCTCCTCCTCCTCCTCCTCCCTTATCCATCTCCTCTCCTCCTCCCCCTTTATCCCATCCTCCTCCTCCTCCCCTTTATCCCATCTCCCCATCCTCCCCTCCATCTCCTCCTCCTCCCCCTTTATCCCATCTCCTCCTCCTCCTCCCCCTTTATCCCATCTCCTCCTCCTCCTCCCTTTATCATCTCCTCCTCCTCTCCCCATCCCTCTCCTCCTCCTCCTCCTTTATCCTCTCCTCCTGCCTCCTCCCCCTTTATCCCATCTCCCTCCTCCTCCTCTCTTCTTCTTCATCGTCCACCACCTCCTCCTCTCTTTCTTCTTCATCGTCCCACACCTCTCCTCTCTTCCTTCATCGTCGTCAACTCACCACCTCCTCTCCTCCTCTTCTTCCTTCATCGTCCACCCCCTCCTCTCTCTTCTTCCTTCATCGTCCCCCACCTCCTCCTCTCTTCTTCATCGTCCACCACCTCCTCCTCCTCTTCTTCTTCATCATCCCACCCGCCTCCTCCTCTTCTTTCCTTCATCGTCCCACCCTCCTCCTCCTCTTCTTCCTTCATCCGTCACCACCTCCTCCTCCTCCTTCTTCCTTCATCGTCCCACACCCTCCTCTCTTCTTCCTTATCGTCCCACCACTCCTCTCTTCCTTCATCGTCCCCACCTCCTCCTCTTCTTCTTCCTCGTCCCACACCTCATCCCTCCTCCTCCTCCTCTTCTTCTTCATCGTCCACCACCTCCTCCTCTCTTCTTCCTTCATCGTCCACCACCTCCTCCTCCTCTTCTTCCTTCATCGTCCCACCACCTCCTCTCTTCTTCCTTCATCGTTCCTCCTCCTCTCTTCCTTCATCGTCCCACCACCTCCTCCTCCTCTTCTTCTATCAACATCGTCTCTCCTCCTCTTCTTCCTTCATCGTCCCACCACCTCCTCCTCCTCTCTTCCTTCATCGTCCCACCACCCTCCTCCTCTTCTCCTTCGTTCTCTCTCTTTCTTCCTTCATCGTCCCACACCTCCTCCTCCTCTTCTTCTTCATTGTCACTCCTCCTCCTCTTCTTCCTTCATCGTCCACCACCCTCCTCCTCCTCTTCTTCTTCATCGTCCACCCACCTCCTCCTCCTCTCTTCCTTCATCGTCCCACCACCTCTCCTCCTCTCTTCCTTCATCGTCCCACCACCTCCTCCTCCTCTTCCTTCATCGTCCCCACCACCTCCTCCTCCTCTTCTTCCTTCATCGTCCCACCACCTCCTCCTCTCTTTCTCCTTCTCTTCCAACCCTCCTCCTCCTCTTCTTCCTTCATCGTCCCACCACCCACCTCCTCTTTCTTCCTTCATCGTCCCATCGTCTTCCTTCATCCCCACCACCTCTCCTCCTCTTCTTCCTTCATCGTCCCACCACCTCCTCCTCCTCTTCTTCCTTCATCGTCCACCACTCCTCCTCCTCTTCTTCCCATCGTCCACCCACCTCCTCCTCCTCTTCTTCCTTCATCATCCCACCACCTCTCCTCCTCTTCTTCCTTCATCGTCCCACACCTCCTCCTCCTCTTCTTCCTTCATCGTCCGCCACCACTCCTCCTCCTCCTTCTTTCCTTCATCGTCCACCACCTCCTCCTCCTCTCTTCCTTCATCGTCCCACCACCTCCTCCTCCTCTTCTTCCTCATCGTCCACCACCTCCTCCTCCTCTTCTCCCATCGTCCACCACCTCCTCCTCCTCTTCTTTCCTTCATCGTCCCACACCTCCTCCTCCTCTTCTTCCTTTTCATCGTCCCACCACCTCCTCCTCCTCTTCTTCCTTCATCGTCTTCTTTCATCGTCCTTCACCCACCACCTCCTCCTCTTCTTCCTTCATCGTCCCACCACCTCCTCCTCCTCTTCTTCCTTCATCGTCCCACCACTCCTCCTCCTCTTCTTCCTCATCGCTTCTTCCGTTCATCGTCCCACCACCTCCTCCTCCTCTTCTTCCTTCATCGTCCACCACCTCCTCCTCCTCTTCTTCCTTCATCGTCCCACCCACCTCCTCCTCTCTTCTTCCTTTCATCGTCCACACCTCCTCCTCCTCTTCTCCTTCATCGTCCCACCACCTCCTCCTCCTCTTCTTCCTTCATCGTCCCACCACCTCCTCCTCCTCTTCTTCCTTCATCGTCCCACCACCTCCTCCTCCTCTTCTTCCAGCCTTCCTCCTCCTCTTCTTCCTTCATCGTACCACCACCTCCTCCTCCTCTTCTTCCTTCATCGTCCCACACCTCCTCCTCCTCTTCTTCCTTCATCGTCCCACCACCTCCTCCTCCTTCTTCCTCTCCTTCATCGTCCACCCCCCCTCCTCCCTCTTCTTCCTTCATCGTCCCACCACCTCCTCCTCCTCTTCTTCCTCATCGTCCCACCACCTCCTCCTCCTCTTCTTCCTTCATCGTCCCACCACCTCCTCCTCCTCTTCTTCCTTCATCGTCCCACCACCTCCCCTCCTCTTCTTCCTTCATCGTCCCACCACCTCCTCCTCCTCTTCTTCCTTCATCGTCCCCCACCTCCTCCTCCTCTTCTTCCTTCATCGTCCCACCACCTCCTCCTCCTCTTCTTCCTTCATCGTCCCACCACCTCCTCCTCCTTCTTCTTCCTTCATCGTCCCACCACCTCCTCCTCCTCTTCCTTCATCGTCCACCACCTCCTCCTCCTCTTCTTCCTTCATCGTCCCACCACCACCTCCTCCTCTTCTTCCTTCATCGTTCCCACCCCTCCTCCTCCTCTTCTTCCTCATCGTCCCACCACCTCCTCCTCCTCTTTCTTCCTTCATCGCCACCCCTCCTCCTCTTCTTCCTTCATCGTCCCCCACCTCCTCCTCCTCTTCTTCCTTCATCGTCCCACCACCTCCTCCTCCTCTTCTTCCTTCATCTCACCTCCTCCTCCTCTTCTTCCTTCATCGTCCCACCACCTCCTCCTCCTCTTCTTCCTTCATCGCATCCTTCCTCCTCTTTCTTCCTTCATCGTCCCACCATCCTCTTCTCCTTCATCGTCCCACCACCTTCCTCCTCTTCTTCCTCATCGTTCTTCCTTCATCGTCCCCACCTCCTCCTCCTCTTCTTCCTTCATCGCCACCACTCCTCCTCCTCTTCTTCCTTCATCGTCCACCTCCTCCTCTCTTCTTCCTTCATCTCCCACCTCCTCCTCCTCTTCTTCCTTCATCGTCCCACCTCCTCCTCCTCCTTCTTCCTTTCATCGTCCCACTCTCCTCCTCTTCTTCCTTCATCGTCCCACCTCCTCTCCTCCCTTCCTTCATCGTCCCCACCTCTCCTCCTCTTCTTCTTCATCGTCCCACCTCCTCCTCCTCTTCTTCCTTCATCGTCCTCTCCTCTTCTTCCTTCATCGCATTCCTCCTCCTCTTCTTCCTTCATCGTCCCACCTCCTCCTCCTCTTCTTCCTTCATCATCCCCACCTCCTCCTCCTCTTCTTCCTTCATTCATCCATCTTCTCTCATCCTTCATCATCCCACCTCCTCCTCCTCTTCTTCCTTCATCATCCCACCTCCTCCTCCTCTTCTTCCTTCATCATCCCACCCTCATCATCCCACCTCCTCCTCCTCTTCTTCCTCATTCCCACCTCCTTCCTCCTCTTCTTCCTTCATCATCCCACCTCCTCCTCCTCTTTCTTCCTTCATCATTCCTCCTCCTCCTCTACTTCCTCATCATCCCATCATCATCCCCACCCTCCTCCTCTTCTTCCTTCATCATCCCACCTCCTCCTCCTCTTCTTCCTTCATCCCACCACCTCCTTCATCCCACCTCCTCCTCTCTGTCCTCTATCTTCCTTCACCTTCATAGTCGTCCTCATCTTCATCTTCCATGTCTCCTTCATGGTTGTCCTCATCTTCATTATCTTCCTCCTTTGTTGTTTCCTTCTCCTTTTCTTCCTCCTTTGTCTTCTCTTTTTTTCTTCCTCCTCTGTCCTCCTCCTCCATCTTTCTCTTCCTCTTCCTCCTCTTTCCTCTTCCTCCATCTTCCTCCTCCCTCCTTCATCTTCGTCCACCTTTGTTGTCCTCCTAGTCTTAGTCATCTTTGTCTTCTCTTTTTCTTTCTCCAGTCTTCTTACTACTCATTTTCATCCTTTTCCTGCTCCTCCTTTTCTTCCTGTTCCTGCTCCTTTTTTTTTCTTCCTGTTCCTGCTCCTTGTATCTTCCTCTTCCTGCTCCTTTTTTCTTCCTGTTCCTGCTTTTTCTTCCTGTTCCTGCTCCTTCCTGTCTCCTTTCCTCCTGTCCCTGCTCCTCCTTTCTTCCTGTCCCCTGCTCCTCCTTTTCTCCTTTCCCTGCTCCTTTCTTCCTTTCCCTGCTCTCCTTTTCTTCCTTCCCTGCTCCTCCTTTTCTCCTTTCCCTGCTCCTCCTTTTCTTCCCCTGCTCCTCCTTTTCTTCCTTTCCCTGCTCCTCCTTTCTCCTTTCCCTGCCTTTCCCCTCCTCCTTTTCTTCCTTTCCCTGCTCCTCCTTTTCTTCCTTTCCCTGCTCCTCCTTTTCTTCCTTTCCCTGCTCCTCCTTTTCTTCCTTTCCTGTCCTTTTCTTCCTTCCCTGCCTCCTCCTTTTCTTCCTTTCCCTGCTCCTCCTTTTCTTCCTTTCCCTGCTCCTCCTTTTCTTCCTTTCCCTGCTCCTCCTTTTCTTCCTTTCCCTGCTCCTCCTTTTCTTCCTTTTCCTGCTCCTCCTTTTCTTCCTCTTCCTGCTCCTCCTTTTCTTCCTCTTCCTGTTCCTCCTCTACTCTCTCTTCCTGTTCCTCCTCTTTCCTCTTCCTCTTCTTTCCTCTTCCCTCTTCCTCTTTCCTTGAAAAATACAGGTCTTGAAACTATTACTGCCAGGTACATATACTGTCCGCTGTGGTCTTTTGTAAATTTTGTTTACACAGAAGGCTTGTAAATGCTTAGTCATCAGTTGGCAGTGTTTCCTTGCCACATCTGATTTCTCTATTGCGTAAACTTTGATTTTTCTCTATTATTGTTGTTAACATTTTAATGTTATTGAGATTACTGAATAAAGAAAAGCTTTCCAGAAATCAAGGGATGGGTGAATGAGTGGCCTTTAGTATGCCAAGTAATGAATTCCAATGGTAACAGCAGTTCTGGTGCAATTTATGTGTAAACAAACTATTGGTTTGGCCAGTAATTCTCATGCTCTTCTGGTATCAGTGATGTGATATTTGATAAGTTTGTATCATCAGTCTAAATGTTTGACATTTTGACAGGTTTTAGCTTGGGGGCAGTAATCTCGCGCATGCAACAGCAGCACGCATCCCTGGCTCAACCCCCACGCCAGTTAGAGTCACAGCCACAGCAGGAACTTTTGCTACAAGCTCAGCAGTCACAATTGCAACAGAGATTCTCTCAATATCAGCGCCATTACCACCAGCCTTACCATCATGAGAGAGAGCGCCGTTTCTACCAGGGTCGCTTTCATCAACAGCAGCAACAGCAATACCCTTTAGATATACAAAGTACCAAATACAAGTTGCAACGGCAACAACAACAATTCTACACACCCAGACATCAACAGGGTACCCAATACCAGCATCGCAGTGAATCACATCATATCCCTTACAATTCCAACCAAGTGGACATCAAAGCTGAACTCCACTCTCCAAAGGATATCCCACTTGGACGGCAGAGGGACCGGCTGGTGCCTGGGACCCCCAAGACTACTGCAGCACAGGCACAGAACTTTGAGCAGCTGGAAAGAGTGCGACCTGCAAAAGGTTCCTTGAAGTTCTGCAGGTTGACATGGGAGGCAGGTCTGTCCTGCTTTTACCTGGTACTAGAGGAGAGTGAGGAATTCATCAAGGTATGCTGATATGTTTAGCTCTTCTTACTACTACTTCCATCCTCTTCGTAATATTATTCTCCTCACTCTTCCCCATTTCCTTTAATTTCTGACAAGTAAACATGATAACCCAATGCTGCAAGGGATGGCATGTATGTACATGCCATGCCTAAAGAGATATTCTAGTATATTGTACACCTAGATAGCTCAACAAGTGCATAGTCACATAAGATTTAGTCTGGTTGTATCAGTCTTACCTGTAAACTGTTTTTGTTATTAGAAATATTCCTTTAACATAATCAAAATGTCAATAATGATAAAAACAGCATCATTAATAGTTGTATTGTAAGAAAAAAAAATATCCTGAAAATTAAAGGAAACTTGAGATCAGCAGAGGTCATGTAGACTACTAATTGACTCTTTGGTGGGTTAGCACTTTGAAGCCATCTGTGTGTAAACACATTTCACAAAATGAAGTTACAATGAGTCTAAAGATCAGAGTAATTGCATTAATCATCCTTAACTTTTTGCAGGCTTGTACTAAGAAGATGAGTGAATCTTGTAACCAGTCCAAAATGGAATCCATCAAAAGCGGTATGTTGGTGGCCATAAAGGATAAGGACACGTGGCAAAGGGCTCAAGTGACCCAGGTACAAGGCACCATGTTCAAGGTCATCATGATTGATGTGGGAAAGGAGCGATGTCTTCAGCTATATGAGGTGAGGGGTGAGGTTTTTTGGAGTGTTAGAAACCTTGTTGGGATTTAATTCTTTCTGGTTACAATTATAGAACTGATGCTTTTACTTAATTCTTTGACTTTTACCTGGTATATTGAAAATCAGCATGCTGTTTGACAATGCAAGGGTAACTCTCAGCTGAAATGTTCTATTGAAAATATGTACTAGGTATGTGACAGTGAATTATATGTTTTCTGGTATGTAGAAAAGTTCTTGAAATGAGAAAAAGGTATTTCCAGAATATATACAATGTTATAATTTTCAATGAGTACAAGTAAATGAACTAGCCAACTAATGTAATTTTGGGAAGGTAATGGCAGTTATTATTCAAAGACAATGTGATGCCCTCTCTTAAACTGATCATGTGAGGATCCTGAATACTTGTATATCATGCACCTTTATGGATACAGATAATTAGGCAGGTGTGTGTGTCCGCAAACAAACGCGCACACGAGAGACTACTCTCCCCTCCCGAGCTGTATGGATGGTCACATTTTTAAGCATTACCATAGCAGATTTTGATCTTCAGTATCCTTGATTTTAAACTTCGTAAAATTTCACTCATATCGGATAGACACTTCACAATGTGAGGTCAAATTTGAAATACATTACCTCTAGATTTGGACAATTATTCTGCATGGATAAAGCACACACAAAGCAATAAAACCTATATTTGCACATATAGACTACTAAAAAGAAAGTAAACATGTATATCGTGATGTGAGGTGGTGAGCATACATGCCAGACTCAGCCAGCACTATATAAGTAGAATTGGGGAAGGAGGGATGCTAGTTATTAACCCTTTTATGATGGGTGTCCGGGCATCCCGCCGGTGTGACGCTGTAACGGGGCTTGCGCTACAATTCAGCAGCAGGCCATGCCCGTGTGCAGGCAGAGTCTGGGCCAGCCC